TGCATGTGTGCATGTGCCGCTCTGTGAAGTCGGGTCCATGTTATGGCCTAGATGCGAAACCATGTGACTGCTGCCTGTCAGCCACGACAGGAAGGCCAAGGAAGAGGAAGAGATCCGCGCAATGGAAGAGAAGGACGGCATGGAGAGATGACTGTTAGAGGTGTGAAGCACCGTCCTGCCATGCCCCTACGCCAGCCAGTGCAGCAGGAGCGAGTGGAGCGAGTTCAGCAGACGTTGCCTCAAGTGGAGGAAGACCGCTTAGATGTGTAGATCTGCAGACGGTGAGCTGTGATAGTTGTTTGTGCGACAGCTCACTTTGCACCCTTCATGCCAGGCATACCGCCGTGAGCTGGCCCGCAAGGCCGCCGAACTGCATAGGCGGGAGAAGGCCGAGAAGGCGCCTTACACCGCAATTCTTGGACAGCATGGCGAAGTATGGAAAAGCAGAATGGTAGCTATCTGAATTTTTGCCTGGTTGCAGGACTGCGATCGCACCTTGTAGAGAGAACTTTGGTTGATTCTGGGCGTGTTGGCCAGACTGTAGCAGTAGCAGAAAAGGTTCAAGCAAGGCCCAGACTTCTTTCCCATTTGTTTCTGAATGAAGCTTTATTGAAGCTAGCGGCACGCCTCCCGCATCTATCCAAAAACAAACGAACCCCCGCGGTTCTGCAGACACTTCTGAGGGTTGCTTGTGTGATGACAGGAGACAGCTGCTCTGGAGCAGGCCTTGGCAGTCTGGTCTAGTCTGGTAGCGGATGTGCTTGTAAGTTATCGTTTTTGTCAGTGCCCCGGTGCCATAAGTGCTATGCATCGCAACTTGAGCTCCAGGAGCAATTGGCCTCCGCACGTCGGGAACGGGTGAACAGGCGAGGGCAGAGCAGCTTCCAGCGTGTACAGTTCGCCATGTTGACCCTGCCAGGTACATGACACCTGATGTCATCTACGAGCATCTTCACACGCCGATCCCCTGCGGTGTTACAGAAGCCTCATGGGGCCTGCAGCTCAGCAGCAATCCATGGCCGCCTGACGCGAGGTCAGACAGCAACGGCCCGACGCCAGCTTTGCAGGTCGGACGCCGGCATCACGCTGGATGATTATTGCATCTAGTACAGCTTGTGCTGCGAACTTCATTTAGCACGCCATCTTCTTCTGCACCATAATTTAGTCGCTACTGCGAGGGCCGCCAAGGGGCCGTCGGGTGGGTGGACAGCGGAGCGAAGCAGAAGCCATGCAGGTATGAAGCACAACTAGGGCTTCCAAACAGGTTTGTGCTGGCTTTGCTGGATGGGCTTGATTAGTTCGTGTGCTTTATGAGGGAGGCAATGCTGTCCTATTGGAGGAAAGGAGCAATCATGCGCAATCTTAGTCTGCTTCGCGTTGAATTGAAAGGAAGCAGGGTCGAGCAAGCAGAACTTAGCAGCTAGGAGCGAGAAGTGTTTCTAGTGGTCTTGACGCCATGCGTAAAACCGGCCAGCTGCGCAAGTGAAAGGCACGGCTGGGAATTTGATTGTGGGAGACGCTCGAGGAAGACGAAGAAGCAGACTAGGAAGGGCGAGGGGGAGAGGGAGGGGCGCGAGCGGGCGCGGGTTGGGGAGGGGGGTGTGGGGTTGGGTGGAGGGGAACCTTAAAAGAGAAAAACACGATTTTGGAGGCGCGTCTTTGGAGGGGTTGACAAGTTGTTATGGTCCTTACAGCTCTACGCTATACGCCTTCAGCCTTGGCGGACTAGATTGAAACAGCACAGCATGGAGGAGCGCAAGCGTCCTGTGGGCTCATCCATACGCCGTCAGGGACCAAGTTGCGGCATGTAAGCCATGTGTGCTCTGAATCTCTCAGCGATGCATCGAGGTGCCCCGAGAAACGAAAGCGCTGAAAGCAACGACGTGGTCGTGTGTGGCAGCTTTGCGACGGGAAGTGTGCGCGCCAGGCATCAAACAGTTTCTTGCAGTCTCGGAACCTGAAGCATCCTAAAACCACGCTAGACCTCAGACTGGCAGCCTAAACCTGAGCCTTCTAAAGCTTAAACATCCAAGCACCTAAAGACCTCGAGCACCTGGGCAAGGAGCGCTGGAAGCACTGGAAACCCTGCACTCCCAAAACTTGACCGCCGTACATCCCAAAACATCTAAGCATCAGGGTTGCCAAATCCTGAAGATTGAAATCCGGTAATCTTGGATACAACCTTGAACCTCGCAGCGCCTGAACAAATCTCCAGCTTAAACTGCAGGAAACCAGGGGTCTAGACTAGACTCCGAAATTCGCAAACCCTGAGCTTTGAAATCCTAACTACGCCTGAAACCGGTGACCCATAAAAATCAAAGCTCTGACCGGAAACGCCATTTCGCTGGACCCGGTACCCAGAAACATTCACTGTGGGGTTTTGGGATCGACACAGGTTCCCCGCAAACGAGTGAAACTAGAAGTCAACGACAGAGAGGATGCCTTTTGGGGATGGGCAGGCTTTCGGCCTTTACTTGTCACGGGAAAACAGAAACATTGTTGATCACTTTTGCATGGAAGAAAACCGCACATCGGTGCGGTGCCGAAGACGGGCAGGAGGAAACAGAAGTTACAGTTAAAGTATGCAGCGGCCGGCGGTGGGGGTGCGCACCACAGCCTGAAGATTCTTTTACTTGGGGTGCTGCTGACTGGCTGTGTTCATGGACGGAGATATCTCGAGTGTTGGACTGACTTTGCAGCCTCTCAACTTGTGTCAATAGAACGTCACCAACATGTTGTATAATTTGGCGACACGTAGCCGTAAATCTACACAAGGAAGATTCACAGCGCAGAGGGTCCAAACGTCGTCGATTGATATCATCAAGCTGTGCCAGGCACAAAGTCATGCTGTCGCCTAGACGGCAAGACACAAGGTCCGACCACTGTGTGAGTAGCATATGTACTCCAGCCCTGCGAACGTGCTGTGCTACCATGAGTGCGATACAATACGATGCAGGCATGCGCCCACAAACAAGAGTCTGAACTCAGCGCTGAGCTTTGCATGCTCTTGCTTGTGCATCCGCACAGCTCATGTGTGACTTACACAAGGCACCTGGCTGAGGTGGGTGATGTGGCTGCTGCCGCTGTTGCTATGCAACGTGCTGAAGGACTTACCGCCTGCATGTACAGGTGCGTGTGATGTGCTCTTGTGAACCAGGACAGCAAGGACAGGATGCAGCTGACGAGTGCGGGCAAAAGCCTGAGGCCGTGGCCAGTGAAGGTCCGGACAGACAAGATGCCCCTGCCTCTGGAATACTGGGCTCACTGCCACCAACGGAGACGCTGGTCCTGGCACAGCAGGAAAATCCAGAAGCAGAAAAGACAGCAGCTCGTGAGCAAGCCGGAGACGCAAAAACAAAGCTTGAAGCCGAGGCAGGCGAAGCCTCCCACACAGCAGCAACAGAAAAGACAGGTAGTGAGGGCCAGGACTGCCTGGAGGGCCCAGAGGGACAGGCCAAGAAGGAAGGACCTGAGGGCCCCAGTGTCATCCTGCAGGCAAGCCCAGATGAGCCACCAGACAGTCGAAAAGAAGCCACTGCTGATTCCGCTGAGGCGCCTGCCTCCCTGCCCCCAGTGCAGACACTGGTTCCGATTCAAGATGAGCAAGCAGCACCAGAAGCAGAAAACCCAGCAGCACACACACAAGGCGAAGAGACGCAGGAGCCAGCTCTTCCACAAGCAGAGACCAGTGAAGCCAAAGACGACGAGCAAAAGCAGATCGAAGGTACGGCAGCGGCAGCGGAAGAGAGCAAAGAAGCAGCAGCTGAGGCCACCGTCAAGCCTGAGGCAGAGGCGAGACTGCAATGGACAGCACAAGCTAGCACAAGATAGGATTCTGAACAAATTGCCCTTTAGCGCCTTAGGTTTCCGCGAGCCCTGCAGCGGAAGGCGCTGCAACCACGGATGACCCAAGGCACGTGCACAAGCAAGATTCTGTCTACCAGCATCAGTGCATGCTGTCCGTCCAGGCCTGATGCTCCTGAAGGTGGACCCTCACCATCCTCCTGAAGCCAGATGATGTGGAAAAGCCTGTTCACGCTAGCTATGATGAGATGCTATCAGTAGACTAGTTGTAGAATTTCTTGTCGCAGTAGGTGCGGTGAAGAAGATTAATGATTAATGCCTTCCACTTTGCAAATGCTACACCGTGAGCAGTCTTGAGTCTGTTTCACACTCATACTCAAGCCACTCCACTAAACTGACGCTAAAGCGCAGTGTTTTGCTACCGCATTTGTTTTATGGCGCTTGCACTGCCCAGCTCTCTGGAATCGAAGTGAGGGCAAGCAAGTGCTGCTTGCGTGCACCTGCTCAACAGGCAGACAGTCTCGCACATCGAGCAGGTCAGGAGTTTCATCCCAGCCTGCAGATTGGTAGTCTGGGTGCAAAGAACAATCTGCTGCAGCGGCTTCGGGAACTTTCTACTTAGCCTGAATTTTTGCTGCAAGCGACTTCAGCTCATGAATCTGCAGCTTCTTTGTTGGCATTGCAAGGAGGCAGGTTTAGGACCTATGACTCTATGACATCAGGTCACACGGCCGGAACTGAAATTCCGCAGTTTAATAGAACAACTACAGCAATTCCTCCAGCAACTTCTCGACATTCCGAAGCGGACTTGGTTGCTGCTTTGCCAGCAAACAAACTTTGGTGATCTTTCAAGCTTGGACTCCCATAGACTCGTCTCTGACGGCAGATGCGCGAGAGCAGGTAAGCAAAGCGCAAGATGACAAAATGGCGGAGTCTGTAGTTGACGATGTTGTAGAGTTATGCAAGCTGCTTGGTCCGGCCCTCAGCTTTTCTTTATGGCCTACAGCACATGGCTTTGCGTTCATACAAGAGTGCTGGAGCCACTGTGTAGAATTTTTTTGAGTAGTACGTGTAGCATCGTGAGCATGAAAACTCAGGCTATGATAAGAGGCAGACGTTCCCTTGCCTCATGCAACTGTGGGGTTTTCAACCTTGGCAATGATGCTCGATGCTTGAGGTTCTAAAGCACAGGTGAACAGCAGGAACATGTCACATTGTTGCGATCGTTGATGAAACGCGTGCAGATGTTGGGTTTGGTGGGGGAGATCAAAAGTTTGATTCTTAAGAGCAGATGCAAGATTCTGGGTTCTCTTAGCATAGGCTTGGAAGCGAAGTAGAGCCTGCATAGAGTCGAAAGCCACAAGTTTCGTCAGAATCCAAGGCTTGATTTCCATCATCTTGTTCGGCTGTCTACGGCATGGGGTTTCCATTCGCACCTTGAGCCACCGCGGTCTCAACTGGGCTTTCGTCTTGGGCGCCTGTGATAATTGAACATGCTGTTGTTTATCTGTAAAAAGTGGGCCCTCATGCACTGCACCCACGAAAGCGATCATGCCTGAAACGTTGCAACCTTCTAGCTAGCTGTCTCAGAGTATGGGCCCGTAGTTCTTGCATGGCGATCCTTGCTGTAAACGGGCAATTTCAGAGAGCTCTTGCGGCTTTTGCATGATACGAGCTGCGTGCCTTTGAACAACAAACACGGTGCCTTGTGGGCACTGAAATCTGGGACGCTCTACAGTAGTTCCCTTCTGGGCACACTCCAGGCTAACATGCGGACTTCTGCTCGCATGTGCAGCACGCGTGTTGTGGCCTCTTGGAGCAAAGACTTCGGACAGCATGATGAAGCCAACACTACATGATAGCTTCAAGGTGGATGTTGGAGCGAGTGTCTTGGGACCGCAGAAAGAACAGGCAGGATATTGATCTACCCGTTTCTCAGTGGCTTCCAGCCACTGTTTCGGCATCGTGAGGCGCAGATGGGCTGACGCGCCACGGGCCAAGACTTGGCTTTCTCAGGCCAGCCAGCAAATGATTTGCCTCAGGCCGCTGCCTTTACAGTCACTCGTCGTTCTTGGTTCTGGAGGTCACACGATGGACAGCACACATGCATACATAGGTTGCGGAGCAGCAGCTGCGGCATTGATGTTATAATGAAGCGTTTACAAGCCTTTTTGCAGAAATGTGCAAAAATGCGTGAGCAGGAGATGCTGTCTCTCCTCAGAGACTTGGACCAAGACAAGTGCGCTCCAATTTGTCAGTATCCAGCTGCTAAAGTTGGTAAGGCCTACAAGGGGCAGTAGTGTAATGCCAGGTAGCAACTGCTTCAGTTTGCAAGTGTTTCGATGTACAGAAGCAGGTACAAATGTCAGTTCATCATGGGCGAGACAGATTCCACATCCTTGAAGAAGGCCTGCAGAGTTTGAGCGGCTTCAGAGGGCGGCCTTCTCCAGAGTCGACTCAAATGGCCTATCCTTCGGTTCACTGCATGACTGCAGGTTCAAGCAGTCCGCCCTGACTTGGCGGCGCATCCGCATCGCTTCCATACGATTCCACGAAGCAGGGAGGCCGCAACAGGGTTGGCCATATCCCGCATAGCTGCTTAATTTGACCAGCGTTGTCACGATGCCCAAAACTGCTTAAAGTTTGACGTAGTCCTAGAAACAGAAACAGAGTCGTGGTTGCTGGCGCCGCTTGCCCAGCCTGAGAGCAACAGCAGGCTGAGATGGCTCCAGCATTTCTGGTTGCAGGTTGGACAATCCTGGGCATCCTCGTTGCCTTCAACCCTGAAGGCCGCATAGTGCAGTAGGCGAGCGTGGGCTATGAACCGCGAGAAGCTATGTTGGAAGTCAAACTCCCGCAAGAGGCAGTTGCCTGCAAACTCAGTCAATCCTGAGCAGGCTTTCATCGCCTGCTTGAGTCTCGTCTGGAAACTGCATCCGCAGGCAGTCTGAGGGTTGCTGAGGTGATGTTCCTACTCTCTCACTTGCCTGCAAGGTGTTGATCGTTAACGGGCCAGGTACGTGCATACCAGTCTACCACCTAGCAGTTTGACAGTGAGGGATGACTTTCATCTCATCTGAAAGCAACCAAGAGGTTGTGGCCGCTGCGCTGCTCTTCGAGCTCGTGACTTTCAGAAGTTGTTCCCTGGTGTTTGCTGATGCCTTGGCATCCGCAGCCGCGTAAGGAGCATGTGTTCTGGGGCTTGTAACATGAGATACCAGGTTGAAAGTGTTTGCAGAGTCAAGTCACTGCCTGGGCCTCAGACCGACTAAAGCGAAGAGATTGTTTTTCACTGCACTGAGACGCCGTCCTTTCTTCCTTGCAGCGAAACAAATCTTAGCCTTACTGTTCCCATGAAGCCAGCAGTATCCAGCAGTGCTCCTGAGGTCCATGACTGGCAAACTTGTGTACCTCGTGTCAGATAGCTTCATCGTGCACTGGCCAGAGCTAGCCGAGAGGCAGGATGAAAGGATGCATGAGACAGTGCAGGGAAATGTTTGCCCAATGCTGCCAGGTATCCTAAAGCTCAGTACTTGGGTGTGCTGCTTTGAGTCGAGGCGGGATGGGAAAGCTGAGCAGAATGTCAAGGGGCTAGCTTCCCTCAGCCTCTACGCGGCGGCCCCACTGTAGCAATCGTTGGTTCACGAATGGGCTAAGTTTGCCACAGAAGACGGCAAAGCTTCACAAAGCGAGGGCAGATCCGTAGCGGGGGGATCTGGAAGCGTAGCCTGCATAACCTTCAGAAATAATGCTAATTTGTATGCCTCCAATCTTTGCTTGCGCTTAACATTTGGCACTGAAACAACATTATTTTAGGCCCATTTTCAAGATTTTTTGGCGCTTGACTCTGCTGACCCCTACTCCCAAAATGAAACGCTAATTACATTACATTTAAATACAAATGCTACATTGATACAAGATGGGCTCATACGGCGGAATTCACGTCATCCTAATAAATCATCAGGAATTCAAGACAAATTGATATAAATTTGGGGTTCAGACGCCATCAACAACATTTCCTCAATCCCAATCAGGCATCCGCGCAAACTCCAACCGGCCCAGAACGTCCCCGATCCGCTCCCCTCGAACGAAAAATGAGATTACAAACGATATATTTTGAAATACGATATTCTATAACCATATATAATATTAAAATTTTGAAATATTTTAATACTCATGAATAGAACGATATTTCGGAAAATATTGAAAATGAAGGTCATTTATAGAAATTACTAATGATATTCATACTTGATATACAAAATATTAATATTCATAATATAAATATATTTAGATATAATATAAAAGAAATAATAAAAATAAATGAATTTAATCTAAAAATTTCAAAGAATTTTCTTAATATAGCATATGAAAAATAGAATACGATCTAATCTTCAGAGATTATATATATTTGAATATTTTCTTCATTTTTTTTCTATATTTAGAAAATTTTCGTTCTATTATAAAATATAAGGATGATTCTATTCTTTTGGGATTTCTTTCTTACTTTCTATGAGATTATTTTTTTAATATAATCTTATTTATATATATGGCATTTCGGAGTTCAAATTCAAATCTTCTTTTTCTATTTTTTCTATATAATATATTAGAAAAAATCATTATTCATAGAAATTCTTGAAATAAAAATTTTGATTTATGATTAACTAATTCTAAATATATTATTATGAGAATATCTCTTCTCTTGCAAATTCTAATTGAGATTATTCTTTATATTTGCCGAATTTCTCGGATTATATCGTGGAATTGATTCTAGATAGGCTTTCTAGCTTTGAATGATTTTAATTCTGCTAAATCGTATCGAAATTCATTAGTAAATAATGATAAGAAACCCGCTATCGAATTATCAAATATTCGATATAGATATTAAAATTATAAGAATAGATTTCTTTCATTCTGATTCTTAAGATATAAATTAATGATATTATAAAATTCAGAAATATCTCAATATTATAATACGGTCACTAATTAGATTTTCCGATTCGCCTTTAATATATCATTTGTAGGCTCCCTGGGGATTCTAATAACTCGGAGATTTTAATTTTTTTCGGAAAAACTAGGGGCTCTAAAATTTACGAGATTTTTGATATGGGCGACGCGACCAAAGATCTCGGAGATTTTTGGTCGCGCGGTCCTTGCTTCCGGAACGATTTTCCGTGCGATTTTTCTCTCTTTGGCTATCTACGCGGCTGCTTGAAGGAAAACGTAGACTCGGGACGGAGAACCAAAATCTTCTAGAATTCATAGATTGGCCGTATTTGTCCACGGGAGGTTTATGCGCTCCCGCGAGCTGCCGCGCAGATAGCCCAAGATATAAATGAGGCGGCGCGCGATTCGAAACGAACTATCTATTTGGTTGGTCGTTTTTGGTGTCGTGCGGTCTTATATTTTGATTGTTCATCGAGATTCACGTGCGATCTTATTTTGGATGTCGATGCGGGTATTCGGAGGAGAATCTAGAGCCAGGACAAAAAAAATAAGATCTTTCAGAATTTATAGATTGATCATATCTAATCATAGAGATTTATACGTTCCTCCGAGCCACCGCGCAGATAGCCTAAGAGAGATAAATGAGGCGGAAAGATCGGGCTGCGTGCGAGGAAGGGTCGCATGACCAAAATTTTTTCAAGATTTCGAATTATTTCTCTCTCTTTGGCTATCTGCGCGGCGGCTCGGTACAAGATAAAGATCCGGGCAAGAAATCTAAAATCTTTCAGAATCTGCATGCCATATGCGGTCTTAGAATATTGATAGTTCATTAGGCTTCACGAGCGATTTTATATATCATTTGGTCATCGGATTTCCTGTTATAGATTTTCTCAAATAAATATTTTCTGCTGTTATAGGCAGCGGGTCAGTTCTAGTATTTATATAATTTTCAATTTTCTATATTCATTGAAGAAATAGATTTTGATTGATCTATATTCATTATATTAATTGATTTAATTAAATTTTCAGAATAAGATATAGATGAAAAATCTTGGATAAGATCGCATATAAAATCTAGCTTTAATTATTTCGGATATTCTAATTATTTATCTAATTTGGAATATCATTTTTTTGATATATGAAATGATATTATCTAAGATTTATAGATTTAGATAATCATGATAGATAGATATATTTTCAAATTATTTATCAGTCCTTCATTTTATTTTTCTATATATTTTCTTATTTGCTTATTTATTCGTCTATCTATGATTCTATTAATATTTCTTATCTAAATCTATTTAATTAGATATCTATCTAGATTTATCTATTTGAATTTCTATCTATATATCTGATTTTATCTATTTAGATTTCTATTTATATTTTTATTTTTGAATCTATCTTCATAATTTCATTTATCAATTAGATTTCAACTAATTCTCATAGTATTAATATAAGACGATCGATTGAGAATCTGATCGTAATGAGATCTTAGAATCCTTCGGAAAAGCTAGAGATTCAAAATCTCGGAGATCTGGGGTCGCGCGGTCCTTGCCTCCGGAGCGCCCTTCCGCTTGATTTATCTCTGCATGGCTGGCTGCGCGACTCCTCCAATATCTTTCAGAATTTATGAATTGGCCGTATCTATCCACGGGAATTTATGCGCTTCCCTGGAAATAGCCCAAGAGAGATAAATGAGGCGGAAAGATTGGGTCGCATGCTGGGGCCGCGCGACCAAAAATATCCGAGATTTTGAATCATTTCTTTCTCTATTTGGCTGTCTGGGCGGCAGCTCGGCGGAACGTACAGACCCGGGACGGAGATCTAAAATCTTTCAGAATCTATATAGATTGGTCGTTTTGAACATATACGGTCTTATATCTTGATTGATAATCGGATTTCATATACAATCTAATATATTATCCATGATTTATCTCTCTTTGGTCGCGCATCTCTCGAGATTTCGAAATATTTCTTTCTCTTTGAATAAAAATTTTCAATTTCGTAGAATATATAGATCCGAGACGGAGATCTAAAATCTTTCAGAATCTATAACTTGGCTATTTTTGACACGCGCGGATTCATCTCTTGATTGATCATCGGAATTCACGTGCAATTTCATATATTATTCATTCATCGAATTTCTCGTTATAAGATATTCTCCAATTAACGTTTTCCGTTATTATAGACGGCACGTCAATTCTGATATAGATAAATCTTTCATTTGAATTCAAATCTATAAATTGATGATTTTTTTATTCTGATAATAAGAAAGCTAAGAAATACGATATTCTATCTTATCATTTTCTATATATAAATATATCAATATCGCAATAGTATGGCGCGATCATTTACGGTCATTTTGCTTGCATGCGGTCTAGCTTTTCCGGCTGACTTTTAGAATGAATCCTACGGACTCCCTAAGAGGGCTGAAAGCTCGGAGATTTTAGAGCCCTTCGGAAAAGCTAGAGGCTCTAAAATCTCCGAGATTTTTGCTGTAGGCAGCGCGACCAAAAATCTCGGAGATTTTAGAATCTTTCGGAAAATCTAGAGACTCTAAATGATTTTGATGCGGACGGCGTGAATAAAAATCTCGGAGATTTTTGGTCGCGCGGCTTTTATCTCGGATCGCTCTTCCGCGTGATTTATCTCTCTTCGACGATTTGCACGATTGCTCGCGGAGCGCATAGATCCGGAAGAGAAATTCAAAATTTTTCAGATTTCATAGATTGACTATATTTCTTTTTGGGGATTTATACATTCCCGCGAGCCGCCGTGCAGATAATCTACGAGAGATATATGAGGCGCAAATATTGGACCGGATACGGGGCCGCGCAAAAATCTCCCGAAATTTCGAAATCTCTTCTCTTTCTTTAGCTCTCTGCGGCGACTTGGGAGAACGTGCAGATCCGGGGCGGACATCTAAAATCTTTCAGCTTATCTCCGGAATGGTCTTCCGCATGATTTATCTCTCTTTAATGATCTGCGCTGCTACTCGGAGGAGCACAAAGAGCCGGCACGGAACACCAATATATTTCAGAATTTATCGAATTGCCGTTCTTATCTACGGGGATTTTCGTTCCCCCGATCCGTCGCGCAGATAGTCCAAGAGAGATAAATGAGCCGGAAGGATAGGCTCGGATGCGGCGGCGACGCGACGAAACATCTGACGAGATTTCAAATTATTTCTCTCTGTGGGCATTTATGCGGCGGCTCGGCGGAACTTGTAGACCCGGGGCGGAGATCCAAAATTTTTCAGAATCTATAGATTGATCGTCTTTATTACGTATAAATTTGTATATTGATCGTATATCGATTTTCATACACGATTTCATATTTTGATTATTCATCGAGTTTTGCGAAATGATTATTTTTAAAAAATATTGTCATTATTGAAGGCAACGGATCAACTCTAATATTATTAATATCTCAATAATATAGCGCGGTCATTTGCGCTCATTTCGCTCGTATGCGACTTAGCTTTTCCGCCTCAATTTTAAAACGCCTCCTCCGCATTCCCTAGGAATTCTAAAATCTCTAAAACAGAGACTCTAAAATCTCAGAGAATTTTGGCGCGGGCGGCGGGGTTCTTATATCCTGAATATTCCTCCCCAATCCGCGTTTTTGCTCGGCGGAATTCATAGATCTGAGACGGAAAATCAAAATCTTTCAGAATCTATATATTAATTATATATATTCGTCATTCAAATAATCTAAGAGAGATAAATGAAATGGATAGATCGGACCCGCTGCAGACTTTTTTTTTCCATTCATTTCTCGAGCAATTATCTATATAACGATACGATAAAATGTCTAATTGCGAGAACACAATTTAAGATTTTTCAGACTCTCTGGCTTGGTCGTTTTCATATATCTAATCTTATAATATATATTAGAATTGAGCCGCTATCTATGCTATCTATATCAACGGAAAATACATATATTTGAGGAAATTTATAACGAGAAATCGTATGATCAAATAATGAATATACTCGGATACGAAGATCGATGAATTATTAATAGCTTGAATTCATATATAATATATAGATTCTGCAAGATTTTTGATATCTATCCTAGAACTTCGTATTTCGTCGACCCGTAGCGCAGACAACCAAAGAGAAAGACATAACTAGAAATCTTAAGAATTTTTTTGAAATGCGGTCATTTCGATCTTTCCATATCATTTCTCTATGCGGCGACTCGAAAGAGCGTATAAAATCAATATAAATAAATTCAACCATTCTATAAATTCTAAACGATTTTAATTTTTCTCTATCTCAAATTTGCGCATTTAAAAGAAATCAAATCATTCAAAAAATAAAACTATATCGAATAATCGTATAAATAATCAAAATCATAGAAATATTTCGTGCGACCTCCTATCCAATCCAGATTTTCTATATCTAAATAGCCCCATCTAATTATATTTCGGCTCGGAAACATTACGTAAAAAAAAATTTCAATTATAAAAATTATACGACCAAAATTCTTATATTATTCCGCCCATGCCACAAGTTAATCTCCTTAATTGTGTAAATCTTGAAAATATTATAAGAAACGAAATAGACTTCGTGTAAATAAAATAATCATAAGTAATAAGAAAATGAAATCTCGTAGAATGTATAATATAAATGAAGATTTTCTGTTATAATTAGCAATAAGTCGTCTCTAGAATATATTTAAATCGAATATATTACCTATGATATTAGATAAATAAATCATCCGAAATCTATAGAAAGATCTTTGATTTCAATAACCAATTTCGTATATCGCTGAGATAAAAGACATCATTGATAATCCTGATCGCATTTTTATGAAATTCGTTAATTTCTAAGAAATCAAATTCCCGTATTATTCTTTCTTGAATTATCCCAAAGATAGAAGAGATTCTAGTCCTTCCGGGTCATATGATAATTTCGGATATTGTAGTGATACTCGACGCCGTCAACATTTCTATAATTTCCGTGGGTTCTTGCTTTTCCTGGCATCAAGCTGCAGAAGATCCATGTTGTCTCTTCGCCAGCGGGCATCCTTCCACGTGGCATCATGTCTCTGGGCTCGGCATCCCAACTCCATATAACCCATGTCGCACCTCCGGTCTGCCCGCAAGTGTGGAGAAGATCACGGCACACCTGCACCATCATCAGCTTAAGTTAAAGCATCCTTGCATACATCTTCTGCCTGCTCATGGGGGCAGGCGCTCAACAGGTAGGATCGCATGTGTGCCTCAACAGCTATGATGTCTTCAGAGGCCTGTATCTGGCCTGACACTCTGAGCAGGGGGCTCTCCACGCCGGCTCCAGAAAGGTCCGCTCCACATGATCCACATTTTCATCCTCCGACGCTGCAGGAATCTTTGTACCAGCTTGCATGACAGCAGCTCCAGGGTACTGCCAAACCAGTACCTGTGGTATGAATGATGGTCAATTGTGCTTTCAAGCACCCTTTGCTTATTTGCACCCCGGCGTAAATCGAGACGCGCGCAGCAGTAGCTGGCACGCTTTACCTCTTGGGTGTCTCTATCAAAATTTCAGCTTCTGCTGCAGTATGCAAGAAAGGTCCAAGACGAATCTGGGAGACCTGTGGACCTGCAAACAAGAGGCCCTCAACCTGCAACAAGAAACCAGTCTCCAACTCATGTAAGTCTTGTTGAGGTTGAGGGATTCAACTTAGGCAATGAGCCTGCGCTTTGTCAGCGACACTGCTGTCTTCTGATGCCCGAGCGCAAGCAGTGAATAGCGCCAGCATCGAAATCAAGTAGGATCTTAATGCAAGAGGACCACAGGCTTGAGTAGCCCTCTGAAAACGGTCCAAGCCTGCTGACTAAGGCTGCCACAGAGAGCCCAGAAAGAAGCGTCCTTTCACAGACCATCCATGTGGTTGTGCCACAACTACCAATTGCTACAGGCTCTGGAGCATAATGCTGAGGACGTTGCTGCAGGTGGTTGCACTTGGCCTTCTTTCGAAGTCTTTGAGAGTGTGCCACCTGATTGGCAGCAGGATTTCTTTGCAGCTCTTGCCATGCGAAGAAGTGAGCCAAAAAAGCTTGTCGAAAGAGGGGCACGGCAGGAGTTTCTGAACAAGGTATCATGCAATCTTGCGCTGAGTTTAGCACCAGAAAAAACTCGGCAATGCAGCTCCAACCTTACTGCGGGGATTGCAGCAATGCCTCAAGCATCAATGCCTGCGAGTTGAATCCGCTACAAGTAGCATGCCTTGCAAAGCTGGAAGTTCGCAACAAACCGGGAATCTCGCCGGCAGCATCCATGAAGCAGCACCGCTGGCCGACATGGCCCAAGGCCTATGAAATCATTTTGTCATCATGACAGAACTCCCCCAAGATCATAGGGGCCGTACAAAATGCATAGTGCCACCAAGTATGGTTTGGACATTGCTGCCGTTTCCGCGCCTGCAGGTGCTGACTGCCCAGCTCAGAAGTTGCAACAAAACCAAGAGCGGCTGCCTGTAGTATCAGACAGCGGGAACCTAGGGCAGCAGCCGGTGGCGGGTCTTTGTTGTATTTGTCATGCAGAAACAAGAATATTCTTCTGCACAGGACGTCGCATCTCTTGCAGGTAGGTGGCAATTTGAGAAACTAGGGGGGCGAATTACAAAGGAAGCGCAATCTATTGGAACATGCTAAGAAGCAGTTGATCGTTTTGACAGGCATGTGTGCCTGCTCCCAAAATAACCAGAGAAACGATGATTGATGCAGCTGAGAAGCATCTTGTAGCCTCCTTGCAGATAATCACTTCTGTGTAACCTGAGGACAATGCTTAAACACTCCAGCAGGTACAGCTGATACCAAGATGTGGTAGTTTCCCAAAATAAGGGGACCCCAACATAGACCCCAGAATACTAGAGTCCTTATTCTTGGGACCCAAAATGGTACCTCTAATTTTGGGAAACCCCCATATCAAGTTCAAAGGCTGCGGCCAGGCAAGCGAATAGAAATGCGGCATTTGCCACAAGGTTTGCATCCTACACCAGCGTAGAGGTTGTCAATCTCTGGCAGTGCCAACATCCCTACATCATATGAGCTATAGTCTCAACTCCTAGTATCCCCCTTAGTAACCCCTGTAATTGTCCCCTATATAATCCCCTATATAACCCCTTTTTAGGAGTTTAGACTATAGCTCCCATAGGACTGGGTCCCGAAGAGCCAGGCCGCATGTGGCAGCCAGGGTGAAACCTGAGCACGAAGCGGAGCTCAGCCAAAGCCGTGCTCGGAGATTATACACCGCATTATTTTCACGGGTCTTTATGGAATATATGGAAGCAACGTGCGAGCCTGCGCCTTCAGAATTAGTAAGGAGTCCAGGTTTCAAGGGCAATATGTCCTCTGGTTTTCCTTTAAAGCTGCCTCTTCTTGGGGTTGGGAGCTGACCTTCTGGGAGTCTAGCAGCCAGGCACATGCACAACAGAGTACGATCACGGCATGCTCGCGTTATTCCTCTTTGTTCTTGGTGGGTTGGAACTTGGGCTTGGCACATTTGAAAAACATCTTTGAGGTTGACTTGATGCTCCAAGGATGTCCAACCAGAACCAGTGTTCAGGCAATTGAAGTCGGACTACTTCATTGATTTTCCTTGCAGTGGGTTTGGAAACTCGTGCGTCATGCATCGAGCAAGAGCAGTTCAGGAGTTAGCAAAGGCCTGGCTTTTGCATGCAGCCAAGTAAGGCTGAGACGCACAAGCCAGTGCCCAAAGCTGCTGTGAAGCCCATGAGAGTTGGCAGGGACCTGAAAAGTGCCAGGTTGGTTCTCCTGCCTACCCACATGGCTTCACCGAAAAACCTGCCGTACAGCTGGCACTGCTTTATGGCAGGTGACCCGCTAATGGCGCCAACGTGCGTATTGTAGGGGCTTCGAACCTCGATTCTGTCTTGGCAAATGCAGTGCACCAACCAACCTGCTGCACGCCTTCAGTGGCGTGTACAGCGCAGCATATGTCACCTTATATGCTAAATCAACAGTGACAGGACGTTCTCTGCACATTGGACAGTGTGAACTGTGAACCAACGAAGGTCTCACCCTCAAGCCAGGTTTTGCGCCATTGTAGCTGCAGCCACTGCAGCTGTGGGTCCCGTAGTGCCAACCTAAACTGACGGGCTGGGCAAACAGCTCGGCAAATATCTTGGGCTGGTGATGTCAATATCTCAGTTGCAGACTCCTAGCATCCCAAGACCCACAGCTCCAGCTCCTGCAGCAAAGCCTGCGTAGGTCCAGCGATCTGCTCAAAGTTCAGCGGTGCACAAATTCGCTGAGATGGCTGCGTGCTGCTTCTTCGGAGCTCAGCTGTCCCGATCTCAGCAACAGCTCAAACCAAGCTGCTGACGGATCAAATTATGCAAGTTGCTGGCGGAAGTGGTCTCATTGCGGTGCGTTTCATTCTTGCATCGCGGTCCACCTGCTCGCAAGCTGAGCGGCTTCATGCTGACTGACCATCAGGCGAAATGGGCATGGCGTTTGCTGGAGCTTGGTGCCCACCAACAATCTGCGAATGACCGCCTCGATCATCTGGTTCATAGTCTGGGCCGAGGAAGAAGTCAGAAACGTTCCAACGAACCTGGCATGATTGAGCCATGCATCACGGAATTGCGCACATGAGAAGGTGACTGCATGCACACTGCGTACACAGATTGCACAGGCAAGTGCTGCTACAAGTTTTTCAACACCACTGCTTCCACAAGCTTGACTCTGTGGCCCGAGCAACGCAGCTGCAATTGATGGCTCGATCGTGCCAGGCAGTGCCAGGAAGTATCCTGGCAGAGCCTTGGCAGTCTAAGTGCATGTTGCCCCGATGAATGATCGCCTATGAATCATTTTGCGCAATTCTTGTTCCAGTTTGGCTTCGCACTCCGCATAAATTTTCAGTGGGAAGCTGGCCGCCGTTTTTCTGTGGCCAGTTACCAGCACATGTCTTGTCCTGCAAGGTTGACCTCCAAACGCGCCTGAACCATGGATCTTGAATGGTGTTGAGCCATTCCGAGGATGGAGAAGGTTTTTGGTCATAATTTTTCCCATGCAGACACCTGTCACGGTTGTGCACAGCAACTAATCTAGCGCATGGACATGATTCACCAATGCAGAATGTCAGGCTTGCCGCGGGTCATGCTTGCCTCTGTTTCGGGCAGCTGTGCGCATCAAGTTTTTTTGTCTACATACAGATGGACAACAAGAAAAATGGTCTGCTGCCATGCTCGTTAATCGGTCGACCTTCAAGACTGAGGCATGCACCGACAGAGACACCCACAAGGTCAGCTTGCCCTGTGCAGCGGTGACTGTGACAAGAGTGGATTGCACCAACTCCACCGTGTGCTTGGGCTACACTGGCCATTTTGTAGTTTCCCAAAATAAGGGGGCCCCAATATCCAATGTATTATGCCCCTTATTATGGGGACCCCTAAAACGGTACCCCTAATTTTGGGAAACCCTAAGCCCTAAACCCTATATATCCTAAGCAACCCCTATATTATATCCCCACATACCCCTATAAACCTCTTTAAAAGCTACCCCAAATTTTTCGAAACCCCATCTACCCCAGCCTTGGCTAGCTTCCAGTAGAGCCTGAAGCCTGCCAAGCCTGCGGTTCTCACCGGCCTTGCAGTGATTAGGGTTTAGGGGGATAATGCAAAAGAACATGAAACTATTGTAGTATATTGGGCTATATGGAAATAATGGAAAAGAAAATGGAAACTTTTGTAGTATATTGGGTTGTATAGGGATAATTCAAAAAAAATGGAAACTACTGTAGTACGTTGGGTTATGTAGGGATAATGGGAAATGGAAACAACTATAGTATGGTGGGTTATTACCAAAATACTGGGAATAGTAGGAGTAGTAATAATAGAAGTTATTGCCAATACTTTACGACCATTTTGGCAATAGAAACCCAATACTAGCAATAATGATCCAATCATAGCAATAATAAGTCAATAATGGTAGTACTAATCCAATGATGGCTGTGGCCATTTCTTTCGAAAGACCGGCTTTGCTGACGTAGACAAACTTGGTTTTCATAAATGACGTCAAAAAAATCATTGCAAGCCTCTCAGCGACGGGAGAACTGGCCTCAGACTCTGCTAGCGCCAGTTTGCAGCTCCAGTTTGCTTGCTATCGCACAGTCTCGGGCCAGAACAGGCAGCTCTCGGGACTGGGTGGCAGCGGTGCTAAGTGCAGCATGTAGTGGCCTGCGAGAAAGAGCAAAAGCAGGACTGCAACATGTTTGCTTCGACAGCTCTGAAGTTGAATCTAGTGGTTGCCTGCTGTGGGTTGGTTGCACCCGAGGCAGAGCTGAACGCGCACAAGCGCCTCAAACTCAGAATGTCAGATGGTGGTATTGGTGCTTCTGCCGCCGCTCAGAGCGTGAACAGCTTGGGATTGTCTCAGGCTGCAGCGGGTCAACGGAAACATTCTCCGTCAAACTTCCGGTTGGCTCCTGTGTACGACGGAAACGGATGAAACATCAGCCAAATAGACGAGAACAATAGCAGCATGCAAGCAGTCTCAACTAAATGCTTAGGGGCAGGCAAGGGCGCCCCGGCCGCGGGCCTGCGGCTAGGGCTGGCGGCGACTAGTCATCAAAACTGACCTCGTGCCAGAAACGATACAAACGCAACATGCCATGCCCATTCATTTCCTGAGGTCAGCGCCAGCATCCTTGACACAGGCATCACTGAAAAGGCAACCCTTGAGAAAGGCAAAGTGCACATTTAGCGAAGCGCGGAATTTACTGTGAGGGCCATCTTCTGCGCGCAAGACATGAATGTGCGTGGAAGGCTGGGAAAGTTGAAAATAAAAAGACAAACCATAGTCAAAAACCATTCTAGGCAGAAAGCTTCATCTAACGGTGAGGCAAATGCTGAAAACAGCTCTCCTTCTTTTTCCACCTGAATTTGCCGGCTGGTTATGCCATTTTGCTGCAAGTGCTGATGCGGATCGTCTACCCCGGCCCAAGGATATCTTGTATCTTGCAGCAGCCCTGTCTGGCACATCAACTGGCTACAAGTAGCACAAAAAGTTGGAGACTCCTTCACCGAAGAAAGCACGGGCAAATATTTGGAACGCACAAATCCGACAGCCACTTCGGAAGAAGGCCCAACATTCGTAGCTTGTGGGGGACACTTTGTAGTCAGTCTGTATGTGGGAGCCTAGCGTTGACAATGTGCCGGAGCACCAAACCCTGAACTTACACCCTGGTACTTTAAAGCCCCGGAATCCTAGAGCCGAAGATCTAAGACCCTGAATCCTAGACCTTCTACGCGGCCCGAATCCTTACAGCCCAACTTTAACCCTGATCTGTGTAAGCCCCAATTTTTTATTACCGACTGTGCTGGTATGCTAAAATATTTGGAGGTGATTTCTGATGTTCTTGGCGTGGTTTCTGATTTTGCCCCATGTTTTTCAAACGCACGGATGGTGGCATCTAGCATCAAACTGGACCGCAGCATGTCCAACATGCGAGCAGACTTGTGAGGGAGGCTTCTAAGAAGGTGTCTGCCAAATTCGTGAGCAAGAAAGTCATAAAGCATGCACAAGTGAGTCTGTGCCTTGAAAAATTTCCCTTATGATTCGACCCATAAGACTTCAACCCCTCCCGCTAACCGTCCCGCACCTCGAACCTCCAAAACTGTCTGAGCTCGGATGTTCAAGAAGGCTTTGTTGAAGCTGTTTGAAGCTTAGGAAAGCAGAGTTGCGGCAAGTGGAGCATATTTTGGGGCCAGCATTATCAATGCAACGGGGTCTGCAATTCTCCCAGTTGTCTGGGTGGCTGCTGAGGCTTTCCCACACCGCCAGATTCTGAATCGCCGCCCTGCGTGAAACATGTGCTGTTATAATCAGCTACAGACTATGCTTCACAGATGCACCCAATGCCGCTGTGTGATAGAAATTCAGTAATGAGATTGCTCCGACCAGGCGTAATCACCAAACGAAAGCTGGCAAAGAAAGGAAGCACTGCTGCTGCTGCTGCTGCTAAAAGGTTCGGAAGAGGCCAGAAGCCCATAAAAGCCTAGAAGAGGCCGAGGCCCTAGAAAAGGCCCCGAGGCCCAGAAAAGGCTGGGTTGGTTTTGGAATCGGGTCTGGGAGGGGCCTGGCCAAACGGAGGTCCGATGAGGCTTGTCCGGGGGCCCTTCTGCAGAGCAGAAGCTCTAGTCGGGCTCCGCCTTGGGCACAGCGGCAGGGCCGGATTTAAAAGGTGAAAACAGAGTTGTGCAGCGGTTGCCGGTGCGCGCAAAGGCGGGGGGAATGCACGCAGCCCTCCATGGAGAAACGAGCGCGCAGAGGGCCAGCATCATCAGCATCATTGGGACTCTGTTTCTCCAATCTGCGGGTTTCCAGCACCCTCTTAAAACTGGAATATTGTTGGCTCGGCTTGGATGGGCCTCAGGGCCAGCTTTCAATAAGCTCATGTTTTTTTCTTGGGGGGTGCTTGGGAGGGAGAAGCCTCTGGAACGCATGTGAATTTGAGCTTGGTTCGGGGGGCCCTTCGGAGAAACGAAGGTCCAACGATGTAGGGTCCGCGGCACTGGCGTCCGGCCTATGGCGAAGCTCGTTCCACGGGTTGGACGTAATTCACACGTTCTCTTGAGAAGCTTCCCCTAGCACGGAAGGAGTTTTGAAGGATCCTTCTCCAGTGTTCTAGGCTTTCCTCGCCTGCTTCGCCAGGCATTGCGGGGTTGGGGAAGATTGGCTGCTGCTGACTTGAAAGAGATAATGATGCTTCTTTGCTTTCATGATGGGCTTGTATGGATTTTCCATGGTAGTATTATGAAACTTGTTGATAGGTGCTTTGATGGGTTTCCTTGTATATAATGGTTCTATGCAGGTTTTCTGCCGGTGGCTCGCCAGACTGCAAAACCTGTCTTGAACGCTGTCCTCATGCTTTTGACTCTGCGCGCAGCTGCTCTAGCAGGTGATGCACTATCACTACCAAGCAGGCTGCCGTCTAACAGTTCTTCTGCTGTCGGAGCCTGTCCAGGTGAAACGTTGAGGTCCTTTCGCGAAATTGAAGTCTGTGTGAGTCGCCTGCAGACTTCTCCAGAAGGTCTTGAAGAGTCAAAGTCCCTGTATAAGCATAGCTTGGGAAATCTTGTAAGATCAAGCGCAGGCATGCGCAGGCAATGCAAGTCCATGCTTCAATCTGTCGTGCTTTTCTGCTTGCGAGCTGCGATGCGTTCGACAGATCCTGATCCTACAAACTTCTTCGAGAAGATGCAGGAAGATCTGAAGCGAGACACGGTTTTTATGCAGGCTTTGGCAACAAATCATCTGGGTCAGATGGCTCCGTACTACTGGTGGGACGCTGGTTCAATATATTATGCCTGCAAAGGCAACCTATTTTCTGCAGCTATACGCACCGAACAGCCTGAAGCTGTTTCGGGGTCTTTCACAGCTGCCTAAAAGTGCAATTATTGTCGGGCTCTTGGCGCCCCCTTCAGTGAGAAGACGTAAGGTAAGCCCCGCAGAGCCACGTAAATATCTTCAATGTGGACAACTCGTTGTTTTCCAGAGCAGGCGACAGCAACTTCTCGGCCCTTCCCTTCGTTACGAAGTTCGGATTGTTCTGCAAAAATGACTAAGCATCTGCCACCAGATTTGAAGCGCGAGTCGTCCTTCGATATGATAGGTTGAGGTGCATAGATAAAACGGCGCATCGGCAGTGCCAGCAAAGTGTGGGCACCTGCTAGCTGACTTCACTTCACATAGGATCTACAAAGCACCAGTTGGCCCAAACTCTAGCACAAAACCGGCCATGCAGTCATGTCAGGCTGGACACCAGGCGCTCACCTGAATGTGGTACATAAGAACTTGACTTGGTCCGGCAGACGCATCAAGAAGTCGCAAAAATTCCAGCCCAAGGAACACTTGAAGTGTGACTTAGCTTCTGAGATGATGTTGGATCCTCGGTCAGTTCGAGCGAAGCTAATTAGCTTTCAAGCAGAGTCGGCTGCACAGCTGCAGCTACAGCAAGAGCAATGATGAATGAAAGACTTCTGTCGCACACTTCCTCCTCCATAGACGTAACGGCAATTTGTCGAATTCAGCAGGCAATCACCAAGCAACACGCGGTGGGTAGCGAAGCATTTTCGTAACTTATTCATCGTGGAAGCGGCACCTTCGGCGCAGCTTGTCATGCACCCATCGCGATGCATGATAAGCAAACAAGTCCTCGTTGAGACTGTCGAATTGTTGCAAGCAAAAGTTGCATGGCTTGATTAAGCCCGAGGCACTACCTAACTAATTGTTAGCTGATGGTCACACATGTCGTAGCCTCTAGACAGCCATTCGCGTTAGCGTCACAGCCATTGCTGCATGTGTCTGCCATCACCTGTACTGTTGAAAAGCCCACTTTCGCTCCTAGCTGCGCCTGGCTCACCATCGGAGACTGCGAGAGCAGGCTCTGCCACGGACGCGGGGTGCTCACAGGCCGCGGTAAGTAGATTGTTCTGGTACCAAGCGCAAGTTGCAGCTCGTCTAAGCAGCCTTTGCTGCCACTGGTTTACTTGGCAGGCTCTTTCTTTCCCAGAAGTCCTTCAGGACCAATCAATTCTTGCAGAAACCAAATTCCATCCTCAATGGTTTACCCGTCCGACGCTTATGCCCAAGGTCCTTCTGCAAGTCCCAGGATGTTCCGTGCAGTTCATCAAGCCATCCCATGGCTCCGTAGTTCACGTTAAACTTCTCCTTGCAACTGGATGTGATCGCAGCGCAGAGAATCAAGCATGGAGCATGTGCTCTTGATGCAGACAGGATTCGTGATGAAAGTCGTGAAAGTTAGGCTGCGCCTCAGCCTGTACGTCACAGATGGCAACCCAAGGATTCCCTGCTTCTGCCGCAAGAAATTGGAAACTCTGCCTGGAAGGAAAAGAGATCTATCCAGGGCCATCTGATGCCGCAGTGATGTGTCTGCGTGGCCATGACCGCAAAGGCCATCCACACTACCTAGGTCGCTAATTCGAAAGACATCAGCATGCACATGATGCACATGATTGCTAAGGACTCTGCTCCGGTGAATGCGTTTGTCCTGACTGCGACGAGACCTGCTCCAAGCGGCCTGGGCAGGCCACGCTTCTTCTCTCTAATCTGGGCCTGGTAGCTGCTACCCTGCTACCCGTCTTTTCAAGCTCTACTGGCCTGCCGTCTGGGTGTTGGCGAGACTCAAACAGGAAGAGCTCACATCTCGCTCTCGAGCACAGAAAGTCTGTTGAGTACTGCATCCTGCTCTTCAACCCCTGTTGGAATTGTCGGAAGGACCATTTCCCTGGAATGCCGAAAAACAGGAGTTTCGATTGCAGGGAATTGTGGGAAGGTTTAAACCTCTCTGGAGGATCGATATCTCGGAATGGCTTTGTTGCCTTGATGTTTCGGGACTACTGCAAGGCTGCAGGACATAATAAACAAACCCCTGAAAAACCCCAAGAATGCTGTAGCCATGAAGTCTGCTGCACCGTGCGCCAGACATCAGATCGGCAACGAAGAACTCAACTGGATGGCAATAGATGGCAGCCAGTCCCATAGGCGCCTGCTGCTCAGCTTTCAGGGGAATTGTGGGGCGTTTTCCCTACTGACGAACTACTCCGCGTGTAACCATCCATGCCGAGCCTTGAACTCATGGTGTATCTTGTGAATGTGCCTGCAAGCGAATGCTCATGCATGTTCACTGCATGCAACACCGTCATCCTGTAGAAGCGCACTTGTACAGAAATTTGTTGGCGTGGAAGAGCCAGTGCCCGTAGAAGAAAAGCACCTGTTCGGAACCCTGACTCTGGATGCTTCTGGGCAACCGTTGGATTTGGCATGCTCCTGGCGCCTCGTTCACGATGACACCGAACCCTGACAAGACATGCAAAGTGTCCCATGCCATGTGTAACTCAAGGTCCTCTACTCTCCATCTTTCAGCCTATGTGCGTGAACATCTCCCACGGACCCGGCAAGGCGACTGTAACTCCTGGGACATAGGATGAGAAGGCTGGAAATGACACGAATGATGGCACCCTCCAAACTTAAGAGCTTCCAACTACACAGAAAACTTGAATTGGGAGAGCACACCCTACGAAATGCAAATCCTACAAAGCCACTGGCACGTGCGTTTTCAGCCCCACAGCCCCCCCCTTCCTTCCACTGAAGCACTGGAGCGGCTTCATTGCTTCCGCAACATGGCTTTCTGGGTTTTCACTCAATTATGGACTTGTGCAGTGTGGTTGCAGGCCAAGCTGCGAAGACGTTGCCAGCAGGGGATCAGTGCTGCCAGCAGCACAGGCAGTACCTGAGGCTGGCTCAAGGGATCTGAATTTTGTCCAAGCCTTCCGCTGAATCTCAGGTATGCGGGTGGACACTCATCCTTACACCATATGCAGCAAAGTGGATCTGTTATTTGCTGTTCATGTGACTGTTGCGACTTGGAGATCTGGGGAGGATGCGTTACGCTCCTGGTTCATATCACCCTGCGGCAGGCTCATTGGGCTCAACTTTTTCTGCCATTCAAGCTTCCATCCGTTGAGAGAGGAGGGAGTTTACTGAAATTTGTTTGTTTCCCCAACTATCACATCACGTTGCAAAACGGAACATTGCCTACGTCATCATCCCTGTACCTAGGACAGGAGAAACATATCTGGACCCTTGTTTGCCATCCATCCTCTTGAAGGCGAGAGAGGTCGGTGTCAATATGCATCCTAGCGTGTGTTTAGCAGTTCTTTCTTGCTTTCTGATCCCAGAGCTTGACATCTAGGCTGCCCCGCATGATGCTGGGTAACATTTGTAGCCTTTCATCCCGAATGTTTCCGAACACAAAGTCGCTCAGCAAAGCATGTCCATGCTGCCGGGGCGTTCAGCACCAATGCTAGCCCCTCTAGCATCCCAAGCATAATACGGCTCCTTACGTACAGGGTACCCCAGACGGGGCCCATCATTTTCACAACCGCTCATCTACCTCAGGATCCCATGGTGCACCACGAAACTAGTCATTGCCAGATTCTTCCTTAGGCTTGCGAGCAAGGATGCCGGTGCTTGTTGACACTGTCAAGCACAGGATGCGAATGCAGCTAGGCTTCCATAATTGCCACATGGATGGCCTGCTTGATGGCCTGCCAGTCCACACCCGAACTGAGGCTGTATCTGATCCTAAGGCTGGCCTGTTTGATCAATTCAACAAGCCCGGTGCACTTCAAGGTCTGGATGCGATACTGCTCAATCAAGTGGGGGAACAGCTTCTCCACCTCGCTTGACGCTGATCGATGCACATGACGAAGTCACTGGTAGGAGATTAGAATTTCGCCTACTCTGAGCACTGTGCCGCGAGCAGCAGGAGCCCATTCGTGAAATAGGTCACGACAAACATGGCCTTGAATGTTGAAGTTCTCACATGCTCTCACCAGGAAGAAACGCAGTAGCCACAATCATTCTTCTCTCTTTTCGCAGATAGCCATGGAACCAAGGAAGCCGACTTATTGGCACGATCACTGCTCCCTTGGTGTATCTGCCTCTGCTTTGTATCCTCTCAACTAGTGGAATAATTTTTTGCGCCAATCTGAGAGGAGAGACCGGCTCTCGAGAGCAGCTTTTTTTTGTGACTTTCCGAGGTCTGAATCATGGATCTCTGCCTACACCCGTCTTAGGACGAGACCGTCGGTGCTCAAGCTGGTTCTCCGTCAAGCACCGCAACATCTTCTCTGAGTAGCTCACCCAAAGTACAAGTGCCACTGTGATGCCCTGCCCCGTGGGGTCTACCTGACAAGTGGCCAATGTCCAAGCGTTTTGGATGATGCATCTCTCTTAAGGGCCAGGCACTTGGGATGGCCTTATCAACAGCTTTAGCACTTGGGCTGATGTCAATGCATGCATGTGAGATGTGGGCTAGCTTTGGCATGACTTCCAGGACTTTCATCCTCAGATCACGCTCGCATGCAAGCTGAGGCACTGCATAGTCTGAGGTCAGCCAGGATACCAAAGCGTCTCTGGCGGTGACCAGACCATGGTGGCAGCCAGCAAGATCACTAGTGGACTCGGCTCAGGTGCCTGAGGCGGCAATTGCTCTCGATCAGTAGGTGTTGCCGTGAGGCACCTTGCTGAGCAGCACGAGCAGCATCAGCTTTGCAAACCAGCTTCCCTCCAAGGCCTGCAAGGTGAAAGCTCACGCTTGGATGCAGGGCTGCAGATGCCGCAGGTGCAGGCGCTCGCAACGTGGAGCCTCTTGCACGGGCACTAAGAGCTCCTTGATTCTGCCCTCCATGAGGATGATGAAAAGCAGGCTCCCAAGCACTGTGCTGGCTGCGACCACATTGAAGCTGAAGCTCCTGCAACTTGTTGCGGGAGCGCAGTGTTTGGATGCTGAGGCTCATGGTCCTTCCCATCGGAGGACACGTAGATTGGCAGGAGCACTCTTGAAGTTTGTAGGCCCATGGGCTTGCTACAAATTTGGGCCGATGGATGACGGAGCCAAAGCCATGACATCCTTTAGGCTGCGTGCTTTAATGTGTGCTGAGGCTGAGAACTCTGAGCTTCCAGCCTTCCAAACTCCCATCCTCTGTGGACAACGCGCTCGTCGAACTTTACTGTCTGACAGGTGTCTGCAGGCTTCCACTTGGTCAAAGTTTCAGTCCCTTCAGGGACGATCGAATATTCGCAGCATCCAGCCTCGTGACTTGGCTGAGTCCTGCTCGCATGCTGGCGGTGAGGGCGGTGTGGACAAGACATTGCAGTGCCACTTGTGAGCTGAGATCCAGGCCAAGCTTTGCAATCGTGCAGCGCGGTGCCTCCACGTGCTTGACGCAGATAAACATGCAGACACAGCAGGGCTAGAGCTGCAGGTTTTCCCTACATCTCTGAAAAGCCTGTGTGCAAGGTGAGAACTCGTAAGGCAACAAGACTAGGCTCACAGCGTGCTGGGGTTGCTTTGCACGTCTTTGCACCACACGTGCAAACATTGCAATGGCAGCCTTCTCTCCACTCGGCACCTGTTGTTGGATCCACGGCATGCGGTTCTGGCCTGCAGACAAAACCGTGGATTGATAGAGCATGTTTTCAGGACCGGATCAACAAGGTCTGGATGTGTGTCCTGTGCTGAGGAGTATGGAATGGGAAGCGGAGGGATGATTTACACCAGACGGATGGTGGCAGGGCAGGCAATTCACGAATTCACGGTGTGCTTTTTCCATTCGAAAGATTAAGGAGGTAGCTTCAGAAGTGCATGCTATAGCTACCCACGTGAGAGCCCAGGGAGGCTGTCAGGGCAGAGATCTGCAGCACATCTTGAGTTCCAAGCGGTCTGCGGTGCCTGAGCAAAAATCAGGTTAAATATGCAGGGTTGTGCGGGTCGCTGGCTATTGTCATGTCTGCCTCTTGGTGCGTGCTCTTGACGCACTTCCCACTGCGCTCGCTCCT